AAAAAAAAAAAAAAAAAAAAAAGAAAGAAAGAAAGAAAGAAAATACTCACTGCCATGGGGTCCACTATTAGAAGAAGTGAGGGCAAAGAGTGTATGAGAAGCAAGAAAGCACAAAAATAGAGAAAGGGACTGTTGAAGTGAAAGAAGCAAATTGACAGCAGCCATTTCTAGCTTATAAATCCCCAAAACTGCTTCTAATTCTAAGTCACAAAGAACATGTGTGGGCACTGCTAAATTTAGGATTGCTAAATCATATCTAAATCTTTAATCTAGTATTTACAAGATAAAAAGTGGTCGCATACCTGGCATTCAAAATACCTCATGTTCTGTATATACTGCAGGAAAAACCTCACATATGCTTACACAACTTTTGTCACGTATAAACTGCATTGCTTTTACATTTCTTTCGATTTTATTCTGAAGCTTATCTATTGAACTAGCTTCCGATTTATGGACATATCCTCAGAATCATTTCCAAGTTGATTGCTCAGACTTTGAGTTGTATTTGATAGACCAACTGTTCAGAACTCTGTCTCCACCCTGGCCTGTGCTCGACTGGGACAGGTATTAATAATATGCACTGAAATTACCAGAGTAGGACAAATCAATACTCAGTATATGTATGTTCCATGGGCTAGATCACCCAAAGACTACCATAGGAAGTCTACAACTTGCCCTTTCTGGTTACACACATGTGCATGGACACTATAGTCCAGGTGTCCTCAAACTATGGCCCACTGGCCACATGCAGCCCACCTAGGACATTTATCTGGAACGCTGGGTGTTTTTGTTGCTGATGCCTGTCCTGCTTAGCAGCAGACTTGTCCTGGGGCCTGCAGTCTGGCCCACCAATGGTCTGAGGGACAGTGAACCGGCCCCCTGTTTAAAAAGTTTGAGGACCCCTGCTATAGTCTGACTCCATCATGGTAAGAGGCCCCTTTTTATAACACAAAGTTTCATCACAGCTGCATAGGGCAGAAAGCAGAAATGGATGAGACAGTTATTCAGTGAAGAATTAACCTTACCCAAAGAGGTGTGACCTTTCTACATGGCTTCTGAGCTCTAAACCTACTGGAATGCCATGCCTGATAGCAGTACCATCATTTGCCTAGAGCCTTGGATCTCTGGATCATCTAATAATATCATTTAGGAGCAGGCTGGCCACACTGGATAGTTTTAGAGTGGGGGCTTTAGGTCACATAGTATCAGTAGACCTCTGGAAAGACTAGAGACTGAGATCAGTCACATAGGCAGCCAGCCATGGCTACACAATGGAACCCCAATAAAAACTCTGAACACTCAGGCTTGAGAGAGCTTTCTTGGTTGGCAATGTGTATATATTGTCACACACTGACACTGAGAAAATAACACTGTCTCAACTCCCCAAGAGAGAACAAATGAAGTGCCACATTCAGCACTTTTTTGAACTTTGCCCGAAATACTTTCCTTGGCTGATTTAACCTGTATTCTTTTCCATGTAATAGAACGGTAAATAAGAGTATCACCATCAGTGAATTCAGTGAGTCCTTTCACCAAATTTTCAAGCCTTAGGGAACACTGAACTTGTAGTTGGTATCAGGAGTGGGTATCAGGAGTGAGTGGTAAGGTGGACTGTTTTGTATAATTTAGCAGTTGTCTAAACTCTTGCAGTAGGTGTCAGAAGTGAGGGTAGTCATGTGGTCTGGGTTTCATCTAACTTCTTAGTTTGCTGACTCCTTGCAACAGTGCTATTATTCCTCTTTTTTTGAGACAGAGCCTCAAGTTGTCCCCCTGGGTAGAGTGCTGTGGCATCACAGCTCACAGCAACCTCCAACTCCTGGGCTCAAGCGAGTCTCTTGCCTCAGCCTCCTGAGTAGCTGGGACCACAGGCGCCTGCCACAACGCCCTGCTATTTTTTGGTTGCAGCCATCATTGTTGTTTGGCAGGCCCGGGCTAGATTCGAACCCGCCACCTTAGGTGTATGTGGCTGGCGCCTTAGCTGCTTGAGCCACAGGCGCCGAGCTGCTATTATTCCTCTTTTTAGGCATCCATTACTAACACACTTGTACTTGGTAGAGTTATCTGCATATGTGCCTTATCCCTACTATTGGCCTCTGAGCCTTGAGTGCTGCTACCTTCCCCCAGACCTATCCTAGAACTGGCCCATTGTGGCTGTTAGTATACAGTGGGCAGATTCACTGAATCATGCAAAGTATAGTGGGAATAAAACTGACGTTATTTTGATTCCTCCTCTCCCATAGTTATCACTTTAAAAGGCATTGATAGCAACAACTCTAGCATTGCTGGTATTTACCTTTGTTCGGAAAGAGCATCTACAGGCAATAACTGAGGTGCGAGAGCAGGGTCCACAGTCTCCTTCATGGCACAGCTTTTCACAGGTATGAATGAAATCTTTAATAAAAATGAAAAGAGCTAGGAATGACAATTGCAACTATTCATTTTCATATTCCTAAATTCACTAGCCACATTGGTCTTCCAAATCTACTTCCTACAACTCCAGAATCAGAGTTGAGGGAAGAAGGATGTCATCAATCTTTCTTCCCTTCATCCAGCAGACTGGGCCTTTTTTTAACAAGGACAGGGCCCAGCATTAAACAATGGAATATACTTTGGAGTGCATGATGCTTATCCTAAGTCAAAGAACAGAACTCTTTCTTTAGGCCCCAAGCCTCTAAGTTAGACTCATGTTTTCTTAAATTGTTGCCATGGATGAATTTACTGAAATGCTCTTAACTCTGAAAGTCACCTGGGGATCATAAAAATCATAATCCATGATCCATAATTTCACTGTCTCAAGCTATGTGAATGTCTAGCTATGGTCAGCCTAGAATCACTCTGCTAAACTAGGTTTAGGATAAGTCTTGTTTCTAGGATCTCTCTGGGATAACTCCAGAATCTCTTTCTTATAGCTAATATTAATACCATATTTTTTATATCCTTTAACTTTTAGCCTTGTTTTATTTTGGACTCTAAAATCTATCTCCTGAAGACAGAATATAGTTTGGGTCTTAGTTATTTTTTTTAATCTAGCCTGAAAAATTTGCTTCTGTTTAAATCCATTCATACTTATTGTTACTGGTAATGTAGTAGGATTTACACCTGCCATTTTAGTTTTCTATCTGTCTCATGGTTTTGTAATTAATCTAATCCTTCTTGACTGCTTTCTTTCACATTCAGTAAAGATTTTTCCATAGTGTAATTCCTTTACTGATATATTTTACTATATTAAATTATTTTCTTAATGGCTGCTCTAAGGCTTTCCATATGCATCTTATCAGAATCTACTTCAGATTTATATTAATTCCAATGAGACACAGAAGCTTTACTCATATATTGTTCTTTTCCTCTTCTCCATTTTTTTGTCATATATTTTATATCTATGTTACAAATCCAATACATATATAAAATTATTTTATATACAGTTATCTATAATATTAAAGAAGCTGAGAAAAAAAGGAGTGGATATATATAGTTTATTTTTTCATTTACCATTTCTGGCTTTCTTCATTTGTTCCTGTGGATTTGTTACCATCTGGTATCATTTCCTTATTCCAATACAAATTTGATCACATGCACCTCCTTTGGGCTGTTAATTGCCAAATGTATTTCTACATGTTATAGGCCTACCAATAATACACATTTTTTTTAATCAGTTGAGAAAATTTATACTCTTTTACAATTACAACATCACCTTTACTAGTGCTCTCTGTCATGTGGATTTGAACTTTCATTTGTGTTTACTTGCTTTTAGCCTGAGAAACTTTATTAGTATTTATTGTAATCCAAGTCGACCTGCTAGCAATGAATTTTCTTTTCTTTTCTTTTTATTTCTGAGACAGTCTCATTATGTCGCCCTTGGTAGAGTGCCATGGCATCATAGCTCACAACAACCTCAAACTCTTGGCCTTAAGTGATTCTCCTGCCTTAGCCTCCCAAGTAGCTGGGACTACAGGCACCCACCACAATGCCCAACTATTTTTTGTTGTAGTTGTTGTTATTTGGCAGGCCTGGGCTAAGTTCGAACTCACCAGCTCTGGTGTATTTGACTGGCGCCCTAGCAGCTGAGCTGCAGGCACTGAGTCCCGGCTACTTTTTAGTTGCAGTTGTCATTGCTGTTTACGTAACCTGGGCCTGGTTTGAAGCCACCAGCGTCAGTCCATGTGGCTGCCACCATAACCACTGTGCTACAGGTGCTGAGCCATCATTGATTCTGATATGAAGTCTGAGAAGTCCACTGTTAATCTTATAGAGGTCCCTTTGTATGTGAGGAGTCATTTTTTTTCTTGCTGCTTTTAAGATTTTCTCCTTGTTTTTGTCCTTTGGCATTTTTATTATGTGTCTGACTATGGCTCTCTTTGCATTTATTGTACTTGGAATTTGTTAAGTTTCTTGGATGTGTAGACTAACATTTTTCAGTAAATTGTAACATTTTCATTCATTATCTCTTCAAATATTTTCCTGCTCATTTTTACTCTCTTTCTCATAGTCCCATTACATGTATACTGGTGCACTTAAAGGTGTACCACATTTCTCTAAGGCACTATTCCTTTTTTTATTCTTTTTTGTCCCTGTCTTTTGGATTACATAATCTCTATTGATCTATTTTCATGCTTATTGCTTCTGCTAGCTCAAATCTAGTGCTGAGGCTCTTTAACAAATTTTTATTTATTTATTTTTTGAGACAGAGTTGCTCTCGGTAAAGTGCTGTGGCATCATAGCTTACAGCAATCTCAAATTCTTGGGCTCAAGTGATTCTCTTGCCTCAGCCTTCCAAGTAGCTGGGACTATAGGTGCCTGCAACAATGACTGGCTATTTGTAGAGACGGGGTCTCACTCTTGCTCAGGCTGGTCTTGAACCCATGAGCTCAAGCAATCTAGCCGTGTTGGCCTCTGAAGTGCTAGGATTACAGGTGTCAGCCACTATGCCCGGCCAAATTTTTCATTTTGGTTATTGTATTTTTGACTTCCAGAATTTCCACTGGATTCTTTTTCTAATTTCTGTATGTTTAATGACATTCTCCATTTGATGAGACAAAGGTTTCAAACCTTCTATTACTTCTTTAAGCATGGTTTTTCTCAATTCTTTGAACATATTTATAATGGGTATTCTAAAGTTTTTTTTTTTTTGGAGACAGAGTCTCAGTATGTCATCCTCAGTAGAGTGCTGTGGCAACTTTAAACTCTTGGGCTTAAGTGATCCTCTTGCCTCAGCCTCCCAAGTAGCTGGGACTACAGGTGCCTGCCACAATGCCCGGCTATTTTTTGGTTATAGTTGTCATTGTTTAGCGGGCCCAAGCTGGATTTGAACCCACCAGCTCTGGTGTATGTGGCTGGTGCCTAAGCCACTTGAGCCACAGGTGCTGAGCCATCTTGAGAAACTTTTAAGAAACTAGGCTGAGTTGGACTGAGAAGTTCAAAGACAAACCTGTGGCTAGTAGTAATAGTGCTGCTCAAGTTTTTGGACCTAGTTTGTCTGTAGAAAAATTTTTCAGGTCTTTTAGTATCTCACCCGGTGGGAAATTTCTATCCCAAAGATATAGATAGCCTCAGTACAAGAGACTGAGTAGAATTGTACTTTCAGAGTTGATAGCATGAGGAGCTCCCTGTAGATCCGCTCCCCAGCACAATAAGCAAAGCTGGGGAAAACTGTAAAAATTAGTCATTTAAAGTCTGAAAACTGTACTAAGGTCATCCATCAAATGAACAAATGTTTATTCAAGAAAATCTAGTCAAACTTAGTAAGCAACAGCAAGAATTTGTGACAATGATCTACAACATACACCCCCCTTCCTCCCTTCAGCTCAGCTGAAAATCTACACTCAGAATTAGTGTAGCTAAGAAGACAAAGCTTCTTCTCCTCTCAGCTCCCAGTCAAGGGTTACTATATTCACCAGAAAAGGCACATTGCCAGCACTTCTCTTCTCCTCCAACTCTTAAGTTGAAAAGGCTGAATTTCTGGTGAATGTAGCTGAGAGGGTGGGGCTCCTTTTCTCCACCCAGCTGCCAGTTCTGTAGCATGGAGGCCCTACCCCAATTGCAGCAGAATATTGGGACCCAAATCATCCTCACTCCAACTCACTTATAGGGCAGAGCAGTGACTCCATGGCACTCTACCCACGGTGACAACTTGAGACTCTGTCTCCAAAAAAAAGTTTCCCAAGATTAAAAGTCGGCTAAAGGCCAGCTGTAGTGGCTCATACCTGTATTACCAGCACTTTGGGGGGCTAAGATGGGAGGTCTGCTTGAAGTTAACAGTTTGAGACCAGTGTGGGCCACATAATATGATACTATCTCTACAAAAAATAAAAGAATTAGCTGGATTCAGTGGTGAATACTAGCAGGCCCAGCTATTCAGGGGTGTGGCTGAGGCAGGAAGTTTGCTTGAGTCTTCAGTGATCTAAGATTGCACTGTTAGACTCTAGCCAGGGAAACAGAGTGAGACACTATCTCTTTAAAAAAAAAATTAATAAAAAAATTTGCACAGTTATCCTCTAATCTAATCCATTAACTTGCTTTTGTACCACCTTAAGGTCTATTACTGATAGTTACTATCCCTCTCTTGCTCAAGTCCCCTTGTATTACCTACTTAACATTTCCTTTTTCTTTCTTTTCTTTTTTTTTGTCCAAGACAGAGCCTCAAGCTGTCCCCCTGTGTAGAGTACCGTGGCATCACAACTCACAGCAACCTCCAACTCCTGGGTTCAAGAGAGTCTCTTGTCTCAGCCTCCCAAGTAGCTGGGACCACAGGCGCCCGCCGCAACACCCACCTATTTTTTGGTTGCAGCCGTCATTGTTGTTTGGTGGGCCTGGGCTGAATTCAAACCCGCCATCTTGGGTGTATGTGGCTGGCGCCTTAGCCGCTTGAGCCACAGGCACCAAGCCAACATTTCCTTTTTCTCTCATTGCCAACAGTATACCTAAAAGCCCCTCAGCTAGGATTTTTGGTCATTGTATATGAAATTTTATAGAATCCATGTACATTTGGAAAAGGGGAAAACTAACGGACAACTGATTTTCCTAATACAGTTGGAACATGTATTAAAATATGAGGAGAGCTTTTCTCCTCTGTAATTTTAAAGTCAGATTGAAAAAAAATGATTAAGTAGGGTGCTCTTACCGATTCCTGCAGGTATTTAGAAGAAACAGAAATCTATCTATCTTCTTGATAAAATGAAAACCAAATCTAAAGAATCTAGCATTACCAAAAAGATGCATGGTTAGTTATAGGAATACCTTTTCTATTTAGTCTCAGTTGCCTGCTTTCATTTTTCTAAATACGTGGCCTTTGAACACTCACTCAGGAGAGTTGCCAAGTCACTGCAAACTTGCATGCATATACTCCCCAATGACAGGGCCAGACAGGTTCAATTAGAAACTCAGACCATTTTATATCTAATTCTAACAAGCATTTTCTGGTTTCTATGTCCAAGTAATCAGAAGCCACAAATCAGAAGGGGGAGTCATTAAAGATAGGCCGCCAGGCATGGGACAAATTGCCTGAGAAACCTCTACAGTCCCTAAGGGCAGCTCTGCATTCACTGTAATGTAGTAAGTGAGGTTCAAGAAAACGATGACTGAGTCAATAAGAAAGAAATTATGCTGGACACAGTGGCTCATGCCTGTAATCCTAGCATTCTGGGAGGCTGAGGCAGGTGGATTGCTTAAGTTCACAAGTTCGAGACTAGCCCGAGCAAAAGTGAGACCTCATCTCTACTAAAAATAGAAAAAACTGAGGCAAGAAGATCACTTGAGCCTGAGTTGGAGGTTGCTGTGAGCTATGACATCGTGGCACTCTACCCTGGGGGACAGCTTGAGACTCTGTCTCAAAATAAATAAATAAATAACCTCCACCAACCCATTTAAAGAAAAGAATGTAAATTTTACAAAAACCTTCATCCAAAATGATGTTTTGTGTTTTTTTTGAGACAGAGCCTCAAGCTGTCCCCCTGCGTAGAGTACCATAGCATCACAGCTCACAGCAACCTCCAACTCCTGGGCTCAAGTGAGTCTCCGGCCTCAGCCTCCTGAGTAGCTGGGACCACAGGCACCCATCACAACGCTCGGCTATTTTTTGGTTGCAGTCATTGCAGTCATTGTTGTTTGGTGGGCCTGGGCTGGATTCGAACCCGCCACCTTAGGTGTATGTGGCTGGAGCCTTAGCCAATTGAGCCACAGGCTCCAAGCCCCAAAATGATGTTTAAGAGGTGCTATCCTCAGTTAGATGGGAAACTTAGCTATAAAGAGTGATAGTCCTTAAGTGGTCTAAATCGTGGAAGTGATATAATTATATCTCAAATTCATCAGCTAAAATTATCTTCCTGCCTCAGCCTCCCAAGTAGCTGGTACTACAAGTATATGCCACTGCATCTGGCAGAATTTTAATTCTTCAATATCTTACCCATAGTTATTTCAGTATGTTCCTATTATATGAACATGCTTTCTAAAAACACTTGCTGAAACCTGGATTAGTAAAAACATATGTAGTATTCATACTAGTGTAGACACCTAGGAGAAATCATAACCCTCCTTGGAATAGTATCTCATCACAATTGTCTAGAATTTATAATAAAATACCTGAATCACGGAGTATATTTTCACAAGTATACTTTGAAAAGGAAAAAGTACTACTCAAATTTCATCATAAGAACTTCTGCTATTGTTATTGGTATTGCTGCCAAATATTTACATTAATATTTTTAAAGCCAACTTTATGTATACTAGTTACCTAAGGAACCACAAGGCAGAGGCTTGCCACACACTTTTCCACATGAAGGGACAGGATCCATGCACGTTTTCCGACCACTACTTCCAAATTCTAACAACTGGCTGAGAGGAGTTTGGCCACAAGGGCAACAGCGCACCAACTGGGGGAGCCGGGGGCATAGCTGGCAGGGCTGAGGGTGGCATACTTGAGAACATGTATGGTTCCCACATTTCAAGTCCCTGTTAAAAAAACAACAACATATTATTACATAATTGTTACATAAACTGCAGCTTTATTATAATTGAGGAAAATGAAACACCTTACTTGCCACACATCTTTAAACAGCTGAAGTTCCCAAATCCATCAGACTTTCCTACATCTGTTCCACATAACACATCTCGGGAGGTGCTGCCACAGTAGCATACTTGAGGACATAATTTCAAAAACAAAAGATTAGTAACCTGCATGAGATCTTATAATATTCTAAATGATCTATAAGAAAACACAAATGCCGGCTCGGCGCCTATAGCTCAACCGGCTAAGGCGCCAGCCACGTACACCTAAGGTGGCGGGTTCGAATCCCCAGCCCGGACCCGCCAAACAACAATGATGGCTGCAACCAAAAAATAGCCGGGCGTTGTGGCGGGCGCCTGTGGTCCCAGCTACTTGGGAGGCGGAGGCAGGAGACTCGCTTGAGCCCAGGAGTTGGAGGTTGCTGTGAGCTGTAATGCCATGGCACTCTACCCAGGGGGATAGCTTGAGGCTCTGTCTCAAAAGAAAACACAAATGCCACTCATTAGTATGTTGATCACTCCTGATGTAGAAATGAATGTGGCTTATATAGCAGCTCTAAGATCCACCTGATAGCTTTATCACAGAAATACATAAATAAATAAATAAATAAATTCCTTGTTAAACTCTGTTAATATTTCATAGTGCCTCTACATCCTAAGAACAGCATCAAAGTGAAGCAACCCCTAAATTAAGAGAACACTATCTGGTCTAAAAGGCTGTGCTTAAACACCACGGATTGTGAGGCTCCCTAGGGTCCTCTAGAAATGTGACAGGGATGGACCAGCTGAGCTGGTAGGATTGGTGGAGGGATTGACACCTGGATTCCCCATCCTCACTTCAACCCAAGAAGAACAGACTTCATACTTTCTATAACAGGGTTTATATAAAATGCTTAAAGGTCCCTGTTGTTAAAAATAAATTTAAAAAATTACTATGATGGTATGAAATCTTTAATAATTTGTATACTACTATTGTTGAATTTAAAGTAATCATGTTTGAGCAGTCATACTATGAAGTTTCAAATAACTTGACTATTACTTGCTAGACAGAGAACCCCAATCTAATGATTTTCTTATGGGTTCAAGAAATAATAGATTCCTTTACTCTCTGGGATTAGCAATACACATATGTTACTTTTAGAGAGCTATTTTTTTTTTTTTTGAGACAGAGCCTCAAGCTGTCCCTGTGGGTAGAAGTGCTGTGGCATCACAGCTCACAGCAACCTCCAACTCCTGGGCTCAAGCAAGTCTACTGTCTTAGCCTCCCAAGTAGCTGGGACCACAGGCGCCCGCCACAATGCCCAGCTATTTTTTGGTTGCAGCCGTCATTGTTGTTTGGCGGGGCCAGGCTTTGAACCCGCCACCTTAGGTGTATGTGGCTAGCACCTTAGCCACTTGAGCCACAGGTGCCGAGCCTAGAGAGCTATTTTTTAGATGACTAAAATTTAACAGAGTTCTATTAAGAACTGATTTAAGAATTAATTTTCATTAATGTAATTTTTCTAAGTGTCATTTTACACTTTTAGTTTACAATAAAACTTATCTCATTAAAATCAATCTATGCAAGTAAATCCTGCCCTACATAATATGTAGTGACCAGAAAAGTGAAAAGCAAATTGAAATTGTGCAGATCTAATGCTGATTTTCTTTTTCCTCAGAACAATCTAAATAGCTACTTGCACAGAAAATCAACATCTGAATAAATGCAATATTATAAAAACATCAAATCTTAAAAATCACATGATAAACACATCCCATTTTCTAGTGAGTACATATGTTATTTGTCTCCTGTTCTAAAACTCATTTAATAGTCTGGGTGCAGACAGGCTCACACCTGTAATTCTAGTAATTGGGAGGCCAAGGCAGGTGGATTGCCTGAGTTCACCGGTTTAAGACCAGCCCCATCTCTAAAAATAGCTGGGTGTTGGGGCAGGCACCTGTAGTCTCAGCTACTTGGGAGGCTGAGCAAGACATTTTCTTGAGCCCAAGAGTTTGAGGTTGCTGTAATCTGTGACGCCAAGGCACTCTACCAAGGGCAACAAACTCTGTCTCCAAAAAAATAAAAAATAATAACAAAAATAAAACTCATTCAATAAAGACTTATTGAACGGGTATCACCTGTGGCTCAGTGGGCAGGGCCCTGGCCAAACTGTAACAAAAAAATAGCTAGGCCTTGTGGCAGGCACCTGTAGTCCCAGCTGCTCAGGAGCCCAAGGCAAGAGAATCACCTAAGCCCAGGAGTTGGAGGTTGCTGTGAGCTATGATGCCATAGCACTCTACTGAGGGTGATAAAGTGAGACTCTGTCTCTAAAAAAAAAAAAAAAAGACTTATTGAATGCAGGAAATGCAATCAATTTTTGTGGAATCAATACATTAGTAAACAAACCCTGGCAACTAGGAGCTTCTCTAAGTAGGTTCTTCTTTGGTAAGTTTCTGTTCAAACAGAACAGAGGCTTTTATGAGGTAATGAACAGAGAGCTGTGAACAAAAAAGTCAAAGGCAATAACACTGTGAAAATAAAAGTATAATGATTAATTAGAAAATAATCTGAGTACAATTCTAAAAAGCTCTTCTATGCTTAGGTACAAGAGATAGAAATATGATCTGGTGACAAAAATTGGAGCTGGTTAAACAGTATTAATGAATCAAAGACGTCTGGAGAAAGGACCCTGTTGCCAGCCTTAATCTGTTCAGTATTTTATCAACACACAAATAAGACCCCAAAGGAATGCTTATTAAATCTCTAGATAAGGTCGAAAGGGATTAGAGGGATTATAATTTCAAAAAACTATACGTGTGGCCCAAATACTCTGCTAAATATTTAATGCAGACAAAAAATTTTCAACTGGGTTTGAAAAATCACCTATACAGAAAGAAATAAGAGATTAGAATCCATACAAATTTGTACAAGACAGACTTTAGGTAACTGAGGTGAGTAAAGCCCAACATGAATCAAGAGCTAAAAATGGCCAGGATCCAGCGGACTCTCCAAAAGCATCATCTATATTGCTAAGACCAAAGTGCCAGTAGTATACTTAACTCCTGCTTTACCTCAAAATAGATCTGAAGCAGCCTGTAAGGATATGTGAAATTTAACAAGAGAACATAAATTAAAAGATGTGAAAAGAAAGAAGAAAGCAGTAGTAGGAATACAGAATGAGCCATAGCTAAAAAATGTACACTATAAAGGTAAACATTATGTCAGTTATATAGGATTCCTAAGATAAAACATGATCAATAGTCTTTGAGGAAAAACAATTATTTTAGGAACTAAGACCAAGCAGGAATTTATCCCAAGAGGATCATAAAAAGAACATTGAGTAGGCTGGGCTCTGTTGTTCATGCCTGTAATCCCAGCCCTCTGGGAGGCCGAGGTGGGTGGATTGCTTGAGCTCAAGAGTTGGAGACCAACCTGAGCAAGAGCAAGACCTTGTCTCTAAAAATAGTCCGGTGTTGTGGTGGGTGCCTGTCGTCCCAGCTGCTTGGGAGGCTGAGGCATGAGAATCAATTGAGCCCAAGAGTTTAAGGTTGCTGTGAGTTATGATACCCCAGTATACAACCCCAAGGCAACTGAGTGAGACTCTGTCTCAAAAAAACAAACAAAAAACCCCACTGAGTAATATACAGCACAGTTCCTTACATAAAAATCCTAATAGAGCACACCACAAAACATTTTGCATAATTGTAACTGTAAGTGCCAACTTAGGTCAATAGTATCGCCCCAAGGTGAGACTTAATGAAATAACAATCTAGAAGGGACCAATACCTTGTGGCCCAGGATCCCTGCTGATTAAGGGCAGTGAGAAAAGAGGAGCTAGGTGGGCAAATGCATAGATTACAGATACTGCAAGATATCTTCTCTGAACACTGTTTCTTCCAACTAAGATTCTGAGAACTACTGTGTGGCATGGGTTTGTGATTATATGCCTGATAAATCCCTGAATAGAGCTTTTCTATACTTTCTGTTAAATACAGACTCATAGGACATAATGGATAATCAAAGTATATTTGTAGAGTTGACATTCTTTTGAGGAGACTATCAAAAACAGGAACTTAAACAGAGAATTACTCCACTTTGACCTGTGATAAAACTGAGGGGAGTTTCCAGAGATGGGGTGAGATTCAGAACAGGTGAATAAAGCCTTGAAGTTCTACTCTATGGAGCAGTGATTTTCAACCAGAGTGCAGTGGCACACTGGGTGCCGTGAGAGGATCTTAGGTGTGCTGTGAAATTTTTAAAAGATCAATTAAATTATTTATCTATCTTTTTCTTTCTTTTGAGACAGAGTTTCACTTTATAGCCCTCTACAGAGTGCTGTGGTGTCACAGCTCACAGGAACCTCCTCAAACTCTTTGGGATCAAGCGATTCTCTTGCCTCAGCCTCCCCAGTAGCTGGACTACAGGCGCCTGCCATAATGCCTGGCTATTATTTTTAGAGATGGGGTCTTGCTCTGACTCAGGGTGGTCTCAAACCTGTGAGCTCAGGCAATCCTCCCGCCTCAGCCTCCCAGAGTGCTAGGATTACAGGCATGAGCCACTGTGCCTTGTCTTAAATTATTTTCAAAAGAAGTTCAAAGCACAGTAAGTGTATTCTTTTTTTTGATCAACATAATTTAAGTGTGCCGTGGAAGTTTAACTTTAGGCTCAAGTGTGCCTATAGATGAAAAAAGGTTGAAAAACACTGCTATGGAGAACAGACTGCAGAAGTTTTAGCTTGGAAAATAATCAGGATACCTTTAACTAGTCATCTGTCTCAGTCAAAAATCACAAGGAAGTACTCAGAGAACCCCTAGTTTTGAGTAATATTGACTCTGATGACACCCACAAGAAAACTGGCATTGCTGTGATCAATCTAGCCACTTTAAAGAGGATAAGCATGTCTGAGAAGCATGTTTCACAGGGAAGAAATGAAGCAATCCCAGCTGGTAGGCATGGAAATAGAACACTGGGGAGAGAGAAATATGTGACAGCTGATTTTGAACCACCCAGGAGGAATGTGGAGAAAGGTGAACCAATGAAAGGATATTTCAGGGCAGTGATGTTGGCTCAATAAAAGAAAAAAAACTGGGACAATTAGAGTTGTCCCATGACCAAACTGTCTACCTATTTAATCAGAGGCTTGGTAACTGATAATCTCCACCCTGGGTGGCAAAGAGGGGATAACTGTGATAAGAAAAAACTGAATTAGATTGTTCTGTCCCCTTTCAAGATTCTAATAACAAGGGAGACCAAGACTAGAAGTAAAAACATTGAAAACATACACTTACTATATTCACAATTTTAAAAAATAATCTTTTTCTGTTCATATACTTTGTTTTTTTCCACTGAGGGATAATTAACATATAATAAACACATATTTTACATGTTGGCTTGATATGCTTTGGTAATTGTATACATCTATGTAACCACCATGCAAAACAAGGTATCAAACATTTCTTGTTAGAAACAACCCAGAAAATTTCTTTGTCCCTTCCTCAATCTCCACCCATTCATAATGAAAGTTAAAATGGTTGTTAAATGTGTCCCCACAACATTTTGAGACTTGTCTGAGCAACAAGGCAAGACAAAAAATTAGTTTTATCTGTTCAATAAACAGAATCAGTACTAAGTTTTCTTTTTACCTAGCTTCCCTGATGTAACAATGTTTTTAGGATTCATCTATTTTGTTGCAAATGTCCCTAGTTTATTCCTGTTTATTGCTGAGTAATATTCCATTGTGTGAAAATACCATAATTTATCTATTCCTTCTTGTGTTGACAGAAATTTGGGTTGCTTCCAGTTTGGGGCTCTTATCAACACATATTCCTGTATAAGCCTTTTTGTGACTTAGGTATGCAAATACCTAAGAGTGGAAAGGCTGGCTCACAGGATACACGTAGGTTTAATTTTATAAGAAAGTGCTATGCGGTTGTTCAAAGTGGGTGTATCATCTTACACACCTGCTAGCAACATATCAGAGTACCAGTTGCTCTACTCTTGCCAGTATTTGGTCATGAGTCTTTTCTATTTTAGCCATCTTAGTAGGTATGAAAAGGTACCTCACTATTTTTGTTTATTTGTTTTTTAAACAGTTTCATTGTGTTATAATTCACACACCACATAAATCCCCCACTTAAAGTATATTTTAAAGCCATAAAGTGGCTTTTAGTACATTTAGAGTCATGTGTCTACTACCACAATCAATTTTAGAACATTTTCATTAACTAAAACAGAAATGCTAAACCCCTTAGCCATTGTCCCCCACCGCAAAGTAACCACTAACCTAGGTACTTTTTGTCTCTATGGATTTGCCTATTCTAGGTATTTCTTATAAATGCAATCGTATATCATCTGGTCCTTTGTGACTGGCTTTTTTCACTTAGGGTAATATTTTGGAGATTCATCTACTTCGTGGCATGTACTACAGAACTTTTTTTTTTATGTCTAAATAATACTCCATTGTAGGGACAGAGTCTTGCCATGTTGCTCAGTCTTATCTTGAACTCAAGTTATCCTCTTGCCTCAGCTTCCCAGACTGCTAGGATTATAGGCATGAGCTACTGCACCCAGTCTCATTTACAACTTTTGTGGGGACAAATTTACTTCTCTTGGGCATATGCCTAGGAGTAGAAATGTTGGGTTAAGTGGTAACTTTATGTTTGATCTTTTGAGGAACTGCCAGACTGTTTCCCAAAGTGACTATAATACCTTACAATCACTGTAGTTTTAATTTGCGCTTTCCCTATTGTTTAAAAGTGTTAAGCACCTTCCATGTGTTTTTCAAACATTTATGTAATTTTTTTTTTTTTGAGACAGTCTCATTCTGTTGCTCAAGCTGGAGTGCTGTGGCATCAGCGATAGCAACCTTAAACTCTTGGACTCAAGTGATCCTCATCCCTCAGCCTCCAGACTATCTGGGACTACAGGTGCCTATCACACTGTCACAACACTCAGCTAATTTTTCTATTTTTAGTAGAGAGGGGATATCACTCTTGCTCAGGCTGATCTTGAGCTCAAGGGATCCTCCTCCCACCTCAGCCTCCCAGAATGCTAGGATTACAGGTGTGGGCCACTGTGCCTAGCCTATAATTTCTTTTGTAAAGTATCTTTCCAGTCTTTTGCTCATATTTTTTTGTTGATTTATAGGAATACTTTAAATATTCTAGATATAATCTATGATTTATCTATTCATTTTCTTTTTTTTGAGACGGAGCCTCAAGCCATGGCATCACGCTCACAGCAACCTCCAACTCCTGGGCTCAAGCGAGTCTCCTGCCTCAGTCTCCCAAGTAGCTGGGACTACAGGCGCCCACCACAGCGCCTGGCCATTTTTTGGTTGCAGCCATCATTGTTGTTTGGTGGGCCCGGGCTGGGGATTCAAACCCACCACCTTAGGTGTATGTGGCTGGCGCCTTAGCCGCTTGAGCCACAGGCGCTGAGCCAATCTATTCATTTTCTTAAAGTGTCTTTAATGAGTTGAAATTTTAAATTTTCATGAAATCTAATTTATCAATTATTTATTTTATGGTTAGTGCTTTTGTCCATGAAATCTGCCTAATCCCAAAGTCACAAAAATATGTATATAGTTTCTAGAAGCTTTATGTTTCTGGGTTTTATATTTGTATTTATGATTCATGTACAATAAATTTTTGTGTAAAGACTGAGGTAGGGGTTGAAATTCATTTTTTTTCCTCATATGTATACCCACTTGTTCTAATAACATTTGTAAGACTTTCCTTTGCCCACTGGTTGAAGGTCAATTGATTATATATATGTGAATCTATTTCTAGACTCTATTCTCTTCCATTATTATATCAGTTTTGTTTTTTTTTTTTTTTAATTAAGAGATAGGGTCTTGTATTTCCCATAATGAAGCTTCTGGCCTTAAGGCCTAAGTCTTCCAAGTAGCTAGGGATATATATAGTGACCAGCTTATTAGTTTATATTTACATTACTAGCTGCATTGCCACAAATACTGTAGCTTTATAGTCGTGAAATCAGGTAGTTTAAGTTAAGTTCTTTTTCAAAATTATTTTGGCCTTTCTAGGTCCTTAAAAAGGAGTTACTTTTAAATAGCATTTTTTTTTTTTTTCTGCAGTTTTTGGCCAGGGCTGGGTTTGAACCTGCCACCTCTGGCATATGGGGCCAGCACCCTACTCCTTTGAGCCACAGGTGCTGCCCTTAAATAGCATTTTAAAATCTACTATCCAAATTATATAGGACAATGACCTACACTGGTATTAAGCAAGTAAAATGATAAAAACCATCTAAGCATTTTATCTCCAGTTTTCTCTACTCAAGGTACTAGAGCTGAATAGAATCTCTGTGACCACAGGTCTGAGCTTAATTGACATGTATCATAAAAGTCATAAATAAGGTTTCAGAAAAGTACACAAGCATTACTAGCTAGTGTGCTCACCACTTACCTTGGTTCAGTATGATCCGGCAAGGCTGGCACTGGCCTGCATGGCACAGCTCAGCACAGTGGTGCTGACCACAGTTTAAAATATTCTCACATGGATTAGAACAGTGGACTGAAACAGCCTGACCACAGCGAACTGTGTGCCTGTAAAGATAGGAGATGTAAAGGCAGCATTAGTCTAAAAGTTCCTATTGGACTGCTAAACTAACACTGATACTCAAAAGTTTCCCCTCAAAACCTTACTAAACCTTTCTCATGACCTCAGTTCTTCTATTTTTCTATGTCTCCACTTCTTATTTTCTCAATTACTCTCCCTCTTTCCATTCTTTCTTCTTTCTCCTTATTTTCCATCCTCCCTTTTTCTTTCCCCTATTTTCTGACCAGTGAGGAACTGGAGGCTATTCTTGAGTATTTGTTTGAAGTGATATAAGTGAGTTCCATAAAGCAGCATGCACAAGGGGAAAAAAGCCTAGAAAAAAAGTTGGAAGATCTTGGTTCTAGTCTATGCTCTGCCTGGTGCTCCCTCAGCACCTTACAGACAGAAAAGGAAGGGCAGCTATACTATACAGAGATACGCCCCATAGTGAAAGTGTAATGGCATTTTCCTGACACCTACCCCTATGGCTTTTTATATAGCTACAATACTTAGAACATACTATATGTGACTTTAATTCAGGGTGGGGAAATCATTCTAGCTTTGTTCTAATAAACATCCTGATTTTGCCAACTTACTGGCTAGGGAAGGATGAGGCCAGTGCTTTTTAGATAGTCATCTTTAGTTCCATTTCCAGGGTGACGGTTTAGCAATCAGAGTCTATTCTCCTATAAGAAGAGTTTTCTTCTACCTCAAACTCCCACTTCAACTATCAATTTTACTTTTAAAAGTCAATGTTATATATACAGATGATCACTTTGCAGTACTTGGCATAATGACAACATTGGGTTATCATGCTACTGTTTTGCCTAGTACCATGGCCAACATCAATGCCTTGAGGTGGAAACTATTCTTTTTCTCCTGTATGATAAGAAAAATGAGGTTTAGCAAGGCTACGCAACCAGGATCAACAACCAGTGAATAGCAGAGCCAGAATCTGACCTTTCTGACCCAGAACACTTTCATGTGAATCTCGGGCCACACTAAGTTCAGTAAGCGCTAAACAAACACATTCCACTAAAAATCTACATTATCCATCTCATCTTGTGATTCAAAAATCTTAAGATCTTACTGGTTGGTCCTCAGAGGCACCACACAGTGATCAGTGATCCTTGCACTGATGATGCTAGAGAACTCGTATCATAACAGAAAGGGTACTTTCTGGGGTTTGCTTAACCTTTCATTCAACAATATTCACTGAAAACCTTCCAGATGCCAGATACTATGCGGTCCTTGCTTCTTGGATCTTAACAGACCTGGGTTTAAATTCTGATTCTATCACCCAGTATAGGCTAAAAAATTGCTATGACCCTAGCATTTCTACCTGAAATGGGTAATTTCACAATCTTACTGTGCACACAACTTCTTAATCACTTAAAAGATTTTTTTTTTGAAACCAAAACTTAAGCTGTCGCCCTCAGTAGAGTGTCATGGCATCACAGCTCACAGCAACCTCTAACTCTCGGGCTTAAGTGATTCTCTTGCCTCAGCCTCCCAAGTAGCTGGGACTACAGGCACCCGCCAGAACGCCTGGCTATTTTGTTTGGTTGCAGCTATCACTGTTGTTTGGCAGGCCTGGGCTGGATTTGAACCCGCCAGCTCTGGTGTATGTGGCTGGCACCTTAGCTGCTTGAGCTACAGGTGCTGAGCCACTTCAAAAATTTAAAAACAGGATTGGGGCAGCACAGAAAACTACTATTTATAGCAAAGATACCATTTATATCTACCATTTATTTCTATTTATCTACTAGTCTTTTACTTTTGAAATTCACAGCTGGGCACAGTGGCTCATGCCTATAATTCTAATACTTTGGGAGGACAACACAGGAGGACCACTTGAGACCAGTCTGGGCAACACAGCAAGCTATCCAACTCTCCAAATTTTTTTAAAAATTAGCTGGACATAGTGGCATACAATAGTACCAGTTACTCAAGAGGCTAAGATAGGAGGATTGCTTGAGCCCAGAATTTGAGGTTTCAGTGAGCCTCAATAATTGTACCATTGCACTCTAATCTGGGCAATGGTGTAAGATCCTGTCTCAAGACAAAAAAAGAGAGAGAGAGAGAGAGAAAAGAAAAGGAAAAGAAAAAGAAATTCACAAGTAAATCATCCATGTGGAAACTGAGGTCTTCTTTAGAGTTCCATTCTAATTTTACCTGGTCCGTCCACATTCACATGCTTTAGTCATAAAGGCAGGGCAAGGTGGGCAGGGTCCAGGATGGCAGAGACTGTAAAAGAAAGGCTTTAATGAATAGATTATACTCATGAATCTAAACTTGAACAAAGCTGCTCCAGCTGGGTCCTATTGTGAATAAGCAACAAGTAAGCCTACTAAAAAATGTTTTCATATTTGTCTACAGTTGATTAAACTACAAAAAACCTCTGTAAGTTGACCGCCCAAGGGGCTATGAGAAACTGGTCAATATAAAGGAGGTGGTCACATAAGGAACTAGGCTGATTGTACTAATAAGTACATATGGTGCATGTCCCGTCTGTGAAAATTAGGTCAACTCAAGGAGGTGGTCAAAGTAGGGAAGTGGTCAACTATGGAGGTTCTATGACATGTTTAAAAAGATATCAACCGTATTTTTATGAAGAAAAAAGTGACAGCATTATCATTTTAGAATATTTAACCAGAAAAATAAAACCCAAATCAGAATACTAGCTTTATTGGGGTGTGACAAAGATGACATTTTCAAATATGGTCTTGGCCCTCTTAGGGCAATGTGTAGGCATAAATTTGCTTGCTATTCAGGTGAATGGCAGGATGGCCAATGGGGTTCTATATTAGATCAGAATCTAAGCAAAGTAATAGAGCTCGAATCTACTAGGTCCATGAGAAGCACATACATTTTTTCATCAGCTAGTAGAGTAATAATCAGGCACTGGGCTAACAATGGGAACAGTGAAAAGAAGGCAGACATAAAGGGAGGCACACTGGTAAGGCACTCCCTTAACACAGGGAGTTATAGGGTCATGCTATAGGTCAGAATTAGATCTCTGAATAGAATGTTTTTCATAGGAGCTATTTATAGAGACCAATAGAAAAAAATTACAAAATGGAATTTGTATATTAATACTGTCCTCTTCATAACAGACACCCTGGTAAATTACATTCTGGTACAGAATACCACTACTTAAAAGATTTTGGTGGGCGGCACCTGTGGCTCAAGGAGTAGGGTGCTGGACCCATATACTGGAGGTGGCGGGTTCAAACCTAGCCCCAGCCAAAAAACCTGCAAATAAATAAATAAATAAAAGATTTTGGTAACTTCTACTACTGTTTCTCTGGGGGGGGTACATTCTAAGTGATGGCAAATCAGAATTATTTGAGGCCATAAAAGCCAATCAGGGCCAAGTTTACTTAATAAGGTAGGTAATAGAATTTGGTGTAAAATACAAGTGTCCCTATAAAGTGGTCTGGCTGGGTGTTTTAGATTTTTTTAATGGGACTCCTAAATCAGCCCTAATAATTCTTAAATAAGATTTAAATACTGAGGCTCAGCGCCTGTGGCTCAAGCAGCTAAGGTGCCAGC